AGAGTATCCCACCTTAAATTTTTGAGAAAGTTTGTTGTCCTGTTTTCTGGTGGAGGAGAAAACATGCTGTATTTTGAAGCTTGATTATGACAGGAAGCAAAATGTTGAAATAATTCTTATGGCAAATCACAGAATACAGTGATTGATAAGGCGATATGTGTATCAAGATTCATTGTTAATCTGTTTATTGAAAGGGAAAAGAAAGTGAAATTGTAAAAAAAGTTCATTATTGTCATAGATCTATTTATTTATTGTCATAGATTTAGTTAGTTTCAAGGACATAATAAGGGAACTGAGTAGGAGCTAAGAAAACCAAGTGATTGCATGATAGGTCTTATTCTATTCAAAAGTAATAAGTGGATTGCAGCAGTGTTAATGGCAAGAAATACAACCTGAACTAATGCCAGCTCCAGAAAAACACAAATTGTTTGGAACTGATTGGAAAGAAATTGTGTTCAACCTACAGAAGACTCAGCAGAGAACTTCCATGGGGTGAGTCACTGACTCGGAAGTCACTTTATCCTAAAAGAAGTGAAAGCAAGAAGAAGAAAACTGAAGCTAAATTAAGGAAAATTAACTTCCTCGGAGAAGTGGTGACAGAGGCTGCTCAGTTCAGAGACAAAAATTGAGGTAGCTGAAGGAATTCCATGAGGTGCCTTCGTGTATGGGATAATCCATTGAGAGAAAATGGATGGATGGGAAGTGGAGATCAAGCAGAAGGAACACAGTGCCTCAATCCATCATTCACGGAAAGCTACTGCTGATGTCTGAATAACAGGCCAAAGAGGGTGAACTTTCAACCTTCTTTTTTAATACTAGGATCTTATTTCAAGTCTTACTTACCAGACTTAAGGGGAAAACTCCTCTCATATAAAATAGCACATGCATTTTCATTTCTGCTGATGTATTTTTCCTTGAAAATCTTTAGAAAGATACTAGGTAGGGCTGTCCCAAATGTTGTACCTGCTGTATACTGCTACATATGTCAGATTTCTATCCATGAATAAAAATACACTTGTTGTATCACACTTTATTTCAGATAAACTCTTTTGCAGATGTGCAGTGACTGACTCTCTTCTACCTTGTTGGCTGTAAGATGACCTTTATCCTCTCAGAGCTGTCACACATTCATTTATGTAAAAATTGGGGAAGCATTTAATAATGTAAATATTGCATTTGTAAAAATTTTAGAAGTATTTTGTGCATCATTTATGGAGTGTTGAAGTACTTGAAAAAGATTCCATCTCTGATCAGCCTGTAAAAATTTTATATTCAATACATGAATTTCACCCCTCAAATTCCTGCTTGGGAGTTCAGAGGGTCTTTCATTCACCTTAAAGGGGGGTGAGGTAATTTCAGTACTTTTGAGTCCTGACCACACAGGAATACCTGAGTTAGGAAGAACCACCTACTGGCAGTAAACTAATAATTTGAATTATAGTAATTAATAATTTGAATTATAGAATCCTTAAGGTTGGAAAATACTTCCAAGACCATCAAGTCCAACCTTGGATGGATTATAATCATGGCCAGAAAACCACATTGAGAATTCCATGTCTACTCACTTCTTGAACCAGGGATGGTGACTCCCCTTCTTCCCTGGGGAGCCTGTTCCAGTGTTTAACCACTCTTCCAGTGAAGAATTTTTTCCTAATATCCAACCTAAACTTTCCTTGGTGATGGATGCCCTCAATAATAACATTTAGGGTTTTTTTTTAAATCCAAAAGGGAAAAAATGAACTATACCTTTTTTTTCTCCAGTCTTCCTTATAATCTTTCCATAGTAATCCATACCCTCATCCTCTCAGTACTCATTGTCCCCAAACTTCTTTTTCAGAAGATTCCTCCCCCAGAGAAATCACTCTCGTAAGTTCTGTCAAAAAACACAGTAGAGAGATGAATCCCTTTGTCTTACTAGAGCTTTAAATGTTGAGTTTTTTCCATGCAACTGTGCCCTTGAAGTACACAATTTCTTTCTCCAAAGGCTTTTTACCCTAATTTCTCACGTCCACCTTGCAGATGCCAGTGGCATTTGGTCCTCTGGCTTAGGGCATTTTCTTTGGTTGGTTATTTCCCAATTAATCAAAGCTTTGAATACCTTGAATCAGCAGAGCTTCATTAATAATTAGTTGCAACTTCTGTGAAATACATGACTGGATGCTTAAAAGACAGAAGCTGAAAATATTTTACTAAAACCCCTTTTGTTCTTCCATGAGAAGGCCTTACACTGGCAAGAAAAGAAAGTAAGGAGTTAAATAAGACATGGAGTGAAGGATGAGCTTAAAGGATGGGACTGAAAATTAAACAGAAGTTAAAGTACAACTACTCTAAATTTGAGGCTCGCAATATCAGCATTTCTTGTCTTTCTCATAAAAGACTGGCAATGTTTTATCCCTTCCAACAACCACTCAGCACTCTTCCTGTCTTACCTTTGTTCTCACTTTGACTTTTTTTACATTTAGAGAGCTTAAATAAGGCATCTTGGGGTGAGGTCTTTTTGGGTTTTTTTGGTTTTTGGGGTTTTTTTTAATGAGTAAAACTTCAATGATATCTTCTTTAAACTAACTAAAGGTCAAGCTTACTTTAAACTAACTAAAGGTCAAGCTTATTTGTCAGCCCTTTTCAGAATACCAGTGGGTAATCATAGCTTTGAAGGCTGTTGTATAGTTCTCCATTCCTACCTCAGAGCAGTATCTTTATGAAAAGAAAATGTATTTGAAAGCCATTGGCTGAATATTTGCTTACAAAATTTATTTTAACATTTGTGCTCAAATCTGCTGCTGAATAAATGCATTAATTGAATGATCAAATGACCAACTGTATTTGTTTGACATTTCTTGGGGATGTCTTCTTTCTCTTACTGGGATCAATTTTTCTCAAAATATATCAACAAAATATGTCTCCTCTTGCCAAAGGAGAGCTCTTCCTGTTCTTCTCAAGCCTCCTGCAAAAGGTTCACCTTTCAGCTTCCTCTCAGTTCCTTGCTGTTAGTTAAATTCTAGATATATGTGACATTTTCAGTGCCTTTTCACACTCTGGAAAAGTGAAGTAGAATCAAGCAAACTGGAGAACAGCTGGACACTGGCCCTGGACTTCTTCCAGGACATCTTCCAGGCAGGTGAAATGTCCTGGTCTCTCCTCCAGAGCTCCTGGGGTCAGCAGCAGGCTCAGGGTGAGCCAGCCCAAGAGCAGTCTTGTTCAGACCCCTCTCCCAGGCCTGCTCAAACCCCTCTCCCAGGCCTGCTCGGACCCCTCTTCCAGGTTTGCTCAAGCCCCTCTCCCAGGCCTGCTCAAGCCTCCCTCCCAGGCTCCCAGCCATGTGCCAGGGCTTTTTTCCTCTAGGTCTCTGCACCCCCATTCCCTGGGAAATTCCCCCATTCCCTCCTCTCCTCTGCCTCTGGCCATGTCTCTGCAGGGACCCTGACACTTTCGGGAGAGAAGGACAAGGGGCTCAGCCTTGAGGCACTTCACCTCACACAACATTCAGGTTCTGGCCTCAAGGCCACATGCAACTTAGTGTTCAAGATTTCTGCTGGAAAACTCTTCCAAACACTGTCCTGTAGGCTGTGACTCAGCTTTTCTGTCCAGTCTTCCCCTTGGCTTGTTCTTTCAACACCTCTTCCTCTGCTGTTCACTCTCTGAGACACCTGAGTTAGGCTGTACCTCAGCCCCCTGTCCTCAGCCAACAGAGGATGATTTTTCCCAGTGCTTTGTCCTGTTCTGGGATTCCCAGTACCAAAGAGATATGGGCAGACTGGAGAGAGTCCAGAAAAGGGCCACAAAGATGCTGGAGTGATTGCAACATCTCTTATATGAGGAAACACAGAGAGGTGGGAGTTCAGCCTAGAGGAGAGAAGGCTCAGCAGGATCTTATCAGTACAAACACCTGGGGGAGGATCAAATAAATCAGAGCCAGACTCTCCTCAGTGTATGCCCAGCGCCAGGGCCAGAGGCCATGGGCACACACTGAAACACAAGAGGTTCCCTCTGAACATCAGGAAACACTTTTATATTGTGAGAGTGACTAAGCACTGGCATAGACTGCCCAGGAGATGTGGAGTCTCCCTCCTTAGTGTCATATAATTTTTTAGGTCCTTGGAGATGTTCCAAACCTGTCTGGACATAGGCTGGGGCTAGCGGCTCTTGGTGACCCAGCTTGAAAGGGGGATAGAACCAGACAAATTCCAGAGTCCCATCCAGCTTCAATAATTCTGTGATTCTGTGATTTCAAATTCCCAATGAATTCAATGGAATCAAAGTTATGCCACCCATAATCAGTTTTGTGAAAAGCCCTGGGATGCATGGGAGAAAGCAATTACACACAATCTGAAAACAGGATAGGCATCCTGTTTCCTCAAACCTCCAAACCTTGAGAAAAATAACAGATTGTCAGGCTGACAGGTTTATTAGAGACCTGCAACTGGGTTATGTGCAAAGAACTGAACAGAGATTCTCACACTAAGTGTGTGAGTACTGTCTTAACTCTGCAAAAACAGATACTTCTGCTCTCAGCTTGTGAGTCTCACATTCATACATCACACACTTTAAAAAAAAAAATAACAATCTCTTTGCACTACACCCCTGGGCAGTGGAATTTTGATTCCTCAGGGGTATCAAGGATATCTGTGCTAAAGGCAAAAGCATGATTAATCAGTAACCTGGACAGCACGCAGAATTTATGGTTTTTATAGCAAATGTCAGGTTGATGACCTGCAGTTACCCATGTTCTTGGACTTTCACACTTGCCCAGTGACCCATACTCTCACCCAGTCACATTGGTCACATTAGTAAACACATATATGCCCCTGTACCCTTCTGAAGACCCATTAGGAAGTGCATGGGAAAAGAGCAAGTCACCAGCCACGATTGAAACATACCCTTCAGTGAAAAAGAGGTTTATGGACTGACACAAGATCCTCCCAAGCACAATAATTTCAGGAGGACAGACATCCAGAGTCCACATTTTCTCTTTTCTGTGGCAAATACTTGGCTGAACAGAGATGGGCTGGAACAGCAGCACTTCCATTGGTTTTGTGTTCATCCTGGCTTTTGTCTCCATTTTGAAAACAGCAGGTTTCTGGAACAGCAGCACTTCCATTGTTTTAGCGTTGATCCTGGCTTTTCTCTCCATTTTGAAAACAACAGGTTTCTGGAACAATGACCGAAGACAGAACTTTCCTCCAGGTCCAAGACCATTACCTATAATTGGAAATCTTCTTTTGTTTGATTTGAAGAGACCCTACAGGACTTATCTAGAGGTACTCATTTTCTTTTCTGTTGGTCCTATCAACAAGCCCCATAGTCCAAGATGTCAGGCAATTTCTCCTATTGCACCCAATGTATTGCATCCATACACGAGCCTTTAGCCAGGGATCCAGAAATGGTTATTTGAGCAGAAAATGTTGAATGCAGCATGGTTTCTAGACTGTAATATTTTGTCCAGGTTTCAGCCTTCAACAACTTTCAAATTAATAGCAAGCATCCACCTTATTTTTGTGGTAATTTTGAGAAAAAGACAATGGACTAAGAAATGATTGTGATATGTGGTGCAACCCTCTCTGCCTTCCACTGATTGATGCACCTGGAGCTGTGACTGCAGCATCTTGGCATTACTGATTTATCAACGTTCTCATCTCCCTTTCCTCTTTTCTTCCCCAGAACCTGAAGATATAACTATATACTCTTAATATTCAGCGCCAACCTTTGCCAAAATAATAAATCTTTCAGTTTTCTTCTAGTGCTTACTTTACTTAGTTTTTTGCAGGGCTTTGGTGACTTTGAGTTAGAAGAGTTATATGAACCTGCTCCTTTCTTAGAGTTTTTTCTGCTTAGACATTAAAATTACACATTTTCCCTGCTGATGATTTTGAAAGGGATATTTGCACCAACGAACCTGTATGGATGTTGTACCCACAAATCAAAAGACTGGCTAGATGCAATATCTGGAATATCACTGTAGCTCTCCTACACAGTCCAATTGTGTTGACAAAAGCAAGTTCCATCTGTTTTCAGGCTAGCCGACAAACATGTGTCTGCTGTAATTCAGTGATTCCTTTCTGATGGTGGATACTGGCTCTCTGACTTGAGCACAATTCAGATGTGGGTGACTGCTCCTGTTTTTTCAGCTAGCTGTACTTGCTTACCACTTGCTGAACATTTTGCATCTTGATGCTTCTGTTTCTCTCTGCAAAGCCACTAGAAAATGAGTGCAGTCAGGAAACCCTTCTCCAGTAGTCAGAAGAATCAGGAACACTGAGTTACAGAAAAATAAATCTACCTGTACCAGCTAAAAAACAACATTGTCTCTGAGACAGATTCATGGTGCATGTAATTATGTATAAAAAGCTTGAATGTGTCTAATGCTAAATCCTGGCCCAGAAACAAACTGATTTATTTCTAATAAAATAATGGTACCAAACATTTGAACAGGTTATTCAGGTGCAGCCTGTGCACAAAAGAAACACAATAGCATAGAGCTGTCTGAAAGCATGAGTCAAACTGAATTTACAAGGGCTTCTGAGGGCAGACAGAACTCTCAGAGCAATCCTTTGCTGATTTGGGGTTTCAGCTGTTGATACTTCTGCTCAGTTTAGCACAATGGAACTCTTCTCCCAACTGTTCCATTTAGTCATTATCTACCACAATGTCTGGCACATTGCCATCATTTAAATCCAGTGTCTTTCCTTGTAGTCAGGAAAATATCTACCATGTGAGTAACCCAGAGGAAGGACTGAAAAATAAGCAGCACTGGAATGGATGATGAATTTCTTTGTAAGTTGTCAAAGTGGTAAATCACTGTTCTCTTTTCCTGACAGCTGTCCAGAAAATATGGTCCAGTCTTCAGTGTTCAGATGGGGTACAGGAAAGTTGTAGTGATTTCTGGCTATGAGACAGTGAAGGAAGCTCTCGTAAACCAGGCAGATGCATTTGCAGAGAGACCTAAAATACCAGTCTTTGAAGATTTGACCAAAGGAAATGGTAAGTTTGTCTTATTCTTCCTTATCAGCTTCACTTGTTTGTTTTTTTTTTTTTTTTATTTTCCCTGTAGACACAGCAGGAGCTGGGACAACACTTTGGATCAGAAATCACAAAAGGCATTGGAAATAGGGAGCAATTTCATTGACTTTAGCACACTTATTCAACTTTGAAATTACTGACAGTGGCAACAAAACAACCATAACTCTAAAAAAACCTACAGCAACAGAAAATGGATAGTGACACATTTTCGGGATCTAGAACAGGGCATCCTTGCCAGAGAAGCATTTCTAGCTCTCATGATATGGCTCTGGACTTGTGGGGTTTTGGGCTTATCACAGAACAACCTTTTCTGAAATTAGTATTCTACTCTTGCTCATCATGTCAGTGGTAAATAGTGCTTTTATATTCAGAATAGGACAATAGATTGCATGTAGCACAATGTAGAACTGTGGATTTATTTTAAAAAGAGGAATACTGTGTAATGAGCTGGGTTTCAAAAAAAGAATTTCAAACCCATAGTTGAGGTCATCAGTTAAATGATGTAACAATTTCAGTGAAAAAAAAGCTGATGGTGGAGTCTTTAAGACATTACCTAATTTTTTAAGACATTTTTTCTTACTTAATTTTTTCCCTGCAGCCATCAGAGGTCTTAGTTCAATTCCACTTCCAAACTATGATGACCAGCAGTTTGAACTTGAATTTCATATGTCTACTTTCTTTCAGTGACAAGTGTCTTTAAGGATCTATATTCTTCTTAAGATTTGATTAAATAAACCTTAAATATTTATCCTTTGCTTGTGTAATGAACCTATTGCTGAGGATTGAAAATACTTAAGGCACAGTTGTGTGTTTTTCCTCATCTGGATGCAATTTGTTTTAAAAGTGACTGCTACTAAACAGCTCCATTGTATGCCTACAAAACTATTTAAAATCTTCTGCCACGTTGAAATGTTCTCTTGGTCTCAGGCGTTGTTTTTGCCCACGGTGAAAACTGGAAGGTGATGCGAAGGTTTACCCTCACAGCCTTACGAGACTTTGGGATGGGCAAAAAGGCCATTGAGGATCGAATCATGGAGGAGTACGGGCACCTGGCAGACTCCATCGCCTCACAGGAAGGTGGGTGGGCTGTTCATTCTGCAAACCCATGGAATTACAGTCACAGAATGGTTTGGGTTCGAAGGGACCTTAAAGTTCATCCAGCTCCACCCTCTGCCATGGGCAGGGACACCTTCCCCTACCCAGGCTGCTCCCAGCCCTGTCCAGCCTGGCCTGGAACACTTCCAGGAGTGGAGCAGCCATAGCTTCTCTGGGCAGCCAGTGCCAGGGCCTCACTACCTCTGAGGTTTTGTCCAAGTATGCAAAGGCTTTTTGAGCCTTTTCAAGTTCAGACCTTTTTAGGAAATGTACACCAGTTTGATGAATTTGGCTCCTCTGGCATTTTTGTGTCTTGATATGGTATTCTGACACTGGATAATAATCAATGATAGCAACCAACCATAACAAATAGCAATATTTAATAATAATTTTACATTTACAAATTACATCTCTTTATTACAATGTAATCAATTCTCTTGTTCCTTGTCCAGGAAATCCTGTTGATGCCAGCAAAATAATTAATGCAGCAGTTGCTAATATAATTGTGTCAATATTGCTTGGAAAACGATTTGACTACAAAGACTCCAGATTTGTGAGACTTCTAAATCTGACCAATGAAAATATGAGGCTTGCTGGGAAACCTCTGGTCACGGTAATGATTCACATGTTTATGTTGCTGTTCCACTGCACGCCGATAGCAATACTGGTTATAAGTTTCTTCTATTAAACAGGAAAATATGAGACTTTGAGAGATAATAGATTTACAAAGCACTTTCTCAGAGAAAAAAAAGCCTTGAGAGAGAGTTTGAGAATCATTAAGTCAACAATCAAGACCCTAGTCTCTCAAAAACATATTTAAGATGGAGTTTGAAGAGTGCTTATGAGTGAAAAATACCTTCAGTTACTTGCATGCAATGCTGCCACACCCTGGATTGATTTATATTTATCTAGTTTTTGAAAAAGAAAAAAAAAAAGTTAGTGGAAGAGCTGGCCAAAACAATAACAAAAGTTGCTGGCCAACATTTCCATCTGCCTGATGGCAGCTTGAAGTTGTTTCAGCCTGACACCTACACTACTCTTGAAAAATAGTCATTTGAGGCAAGATTTTTACATCTATTCAGTGGTCCTTGATGAATTTTCTACTACGAATTCATCCAGTCACTTTTTTTGTGTTCTAAAAACCAAAATATTTATCTTAAGTTTTTGACTTTGTATTTGCAAGGAAGGCCAAACGTTGTTAATTTGTTTCTGTAGTGTTTTCAGAGCTCTGGCTGATAAACTCTAACAACTTCCACTCTTGTAGATGTACAATATCTTCCCATACCTTGGATTCCTCCTAAGGGCTAACAAGGCTCTCCTTCGAAACAGAGATGAATTCCATGATTTTGTAAGAGTTACTTTTGTGGAGCACCTCAAAAACCTGGACAAAAATGACCAAAGAAGTTTTATTGATGCCTTCCTGGTTAAACAGCAGGAGGTAACTGGGCATTTTCTTGCTGATTCCATCTTTTATGGTTTTATGAGCACATTTGCAATTTTCTTTCAGTCCTTACAATTACAGCTGAATTTCTTTAGGGAAGCTGTCTTTGAGAAAATACATACTACAAAGTGGTAGAGTTGAACACATACTTCATGCTGTTGAAATTCCAACCTCTTTTAATCAGTGAACCTTTATCCTTTTTTTTTTTTTTTTTTTTTTTTTCAGACTGTATAAATATATTTGCTAAGGCTGCATCTTTTTATCTGCTTTCTCTGTTGCCCCAGCTCTTCTGGCTCTTTTGAAAACATAACACATAACACTATGGAATCACTACCTGGGCTTTACTGGGACTTATTTTTGGTCTCTGATATGGCTGGGTTACCTTCCCATGGGGAAGGCAGCTCCCTTTGCAGATGGTCCCAGTAAATACAAAGATATGTCAGCACTCTGCTCCAGGCACAAGCCCAAAGCTCTTCCTTGTCTTTCACAATTTTTTAAAATGTAGGATTTATATCTTAGCAAATATTTATCTACATAAATTGCATTTTCACATGGAAAACTTTGAGTTTTCATCCTTTTATCTCAACGACTTTTTTCAGGAGAAATCCACTACCAATGGGTATTTCCATAATGGCAACTTGCTAAGCTTGGTGAGCAATTTGTTTACTGCTGGTGTTGAGACCATTTCCACCACACTAAACTGGGGCTTTCTGCTGATGCTAAAGTACCCTGAAATCCAGAGTAAGTGGTTTAATGATAGATACTGTTACAGTCAGGGAATTAGTGACCAAACAGGAACCTGGAGGATCAAGACCTCCAAGTTGCAAAGAACTGAGATTTAATAGGCCAAGTTACAAAGAGCTGAGATTTCCAGCCAATTACTGCCTCTGTGTCCTCTGGTTCAGACCCAGTGAGGCTTGCACTGGTCAGCCAGGAGCAGGACACAGAGTTCATACAGGCCAGGCCCTCTGCTTGGGGAAATCTCATTAATTAGTAAGTAAAGAGCTGTCCTGTGTTGGTCAATGATTTTGTTCCAGGTTACCCTCAGAAACTGTCAATAAACCAAAGGCCTGTGCAGATGTTAAATGAACTGTACTGAGGCTTTGGGGACTTGAGAAGATTCATGGAATTGCCTTTGCCTGGCATCTCCATTCCAGCTGATGGTACAGGGTTGTTTAGAGTCAAATGGGGTTTTAGAGACAACCCTTGGGCAGAACATGAATCTTTAGACAGAAGAGATGGCAGAAAAAAAGCCTTTAGGTTCCTTTTTGGTAAAGAATTAAACATGGTAGTCCTGTTCACCTCCTATTATTTCTGAAAGGAAAAAAAGATTTTGGGAGAATTTATTGTTTGTACTCCAGATCTATTATACTTGACATCAGTAAAGCACACTGTGTCTCAGGGGTGAATGAGTCCTTGCATCTTAGAGTTGATTCTTTCTTTAGAAAAGGTCCAAGAAGAGATAGAGCAAGTGATAGGGTCCAACCCCCCGCGGATCGAGCACCGAGCTCAGATGCCATACACAGATGCTGTCATCCATGAAATTCAGAGGTTTGCCAATATCCTGCCACTGGATTTGCCTCATGAGACTGCTGCAGATGTCACCCTCCAAGGCTATTTCATCCCCAAGGTGAGACGCCTACAGGATTGCTTAACATTTCTTCTTTCTGAATTTGTCTAGGAATTTATTCCTCTGTCCTATATTGCAGGGAACCTACATCATCCCTTTACTGACCTCAGTCCTGAAAGACCAGTCACAGTGGGAGAAACCAGACATGTTCTACCCTGAGCACTTCCTTGATGCCAATGGGAAATTTGTGAAGAAAGATGCTTTCATGCCTTTCTCAGCAGGTGCTTTCTCTTTTACATTTATACAGAATACACAGCGAAGATGCTTCTGTGCATTCCTGCTTCATTTTTCCATGTCCCTTTTAAAAAGTCACAAAAAATGTCAGCTGGGTCAAGGTTTCATATAGTATGATGATAAAAAAAGCCCAAATTCTGTGTAAAATCAAAGGAAAGAAGGGACTTGCCCTTTGAGGCTTTCTCAGAATGTGACATTCACCTGAATTTACACACCTACACCATTTGCCATGGGAGATTCCAACTCTGCTCCTTTTCTGGCATTTCTTCTGCTTTGCAGGCTCTGTAATTGCTCTTTTTAAGTTCCCATACATCAGTCTCTGGCTAATTTATGTGGCATATCCACAACACTCTCCATTTTTTAATCAACCCTATTTGTATATTTTCGACTCTGTATGATCTTCAAATAAGATTTTTTTCTTGTCATACCAGCCAGTACACTGTAATTTTTTTTTTCGTTTAGAAGAATTTATGACACTTCCAGTTCCCAGGTCTTCTTTTCCAGACTTAAGTTTAGATGTCCCAGCTGAAAGCAGACCCAGGGAATGTCAGGTCTGGGCATTCCCTGGAGGACTTATTTCATATCACAGCCATGAAATAGCTCTCCATTTTCTCTCACACAGGAGTGTTAAAACCAAATTTTAGCTCAAGTTTTTGTTAGTTCTGGCTTGAATCATCGTGCTATGAATAAGGCAGTTTACTAGCTACTGGATTTGACAGAACTTACATTTACAGCATTTTTGAATATTCATAGAATATCTCCTCCACCTGGCTTCTCAGTCCCACTCTGGCCAGCATTTGTGAATCTTCAAGGAATTTGCTGAAAAATTTTAGGATAAAAAATTGCCTCTGAGTTGACTAATAGACTTAAACTCTAGACTAAACCAGTTGGTTTGGGATCAAAACATTCAGCCAAGTAGAAAAAAAAAATTGTGAAAATGAAGTAAAAATTCAATTTTACTGAAAACTCAAGTTAAGGAATTCAGACTACATTTCCATACATTTCTCTCCAAATGCAAGCATTTAGACAAAGGAAAACAAAATCTATCACCACCTGGCTTTGGTACCTCTGAAGATCAAATTTCCTCTCTGATAACTTGTACCCAAAAGACTTTAAATCTACTGTGTTCTTTATTCATACCTAGGATATAACATTCAAATGTTCTGGATTCCCATTGAAGCTGGATTTCCAGCTTTTCAGAGCTGGTAAAAGGGGTTTTTTTCTTCCAATACTGGAGAAGCAGCTCACTGATTTTCCTGTGGTCCTTTTGCCTTTTGTTCCAGGGCGGAGGATCTGTGCTGGGGAGACTCTTGCCAAAATGGAGCTCTTCCTCTTCTTCACCAGTCTCCTGCAGAGGTTCAACTTCCTCCCTCCACCTGGAGTTTCCAGCTCAGACCTGGACCTCAGCCCTGCCATTTCATTTAATGTCATCCCCAAACCCTATAAAATGTGTGCTGTAGCACGTTCCTAGAACTACAATCCATTGTGTTTCTAAAATGTTTAAATCACTTTTCCATTACATCAGTCTTAATTCTTTGACCAAAATAATTCATATTTCAATTAAGGTTTCCAGCACTTCTAAACCAAAGTGGTGTTCTTTTATTTTTTATTTTTTGGGAGGGCAGAAATGGACCAGAACTGTGAAGTACCTGATGGCTCATGGATTAATCTCTTAGATCACCCAATCTTGGCTAAATAATACAGGCCTTCAGCTTTCCTATTCTCGCTGCCATGTTCACTGTTTGTTGAAAGCATATCTCAAAAAATGCTCCCAAGTCCAGGTTTTTCCCAAAAGACACATGGGCTATGAAGCTGTGCTTAGGTTGTACAAGGAGATAAATGTGGGATGTTCAGAGTTTCAGGCTGTCAGAACAGAAGGGCTGTTTGACCTTGGCAGTCATCTGGGTTTGAAGCTGGGCTGGATGTCCTGACCTTCCCCAGTGCCTCAGTGCAGCTTCTTCCCTTGGCTCTTCTCCCTACTCCATTTCCATATGCAAAGAAATCACAGTTCTGTACTTGTAGATCACTTCTGAGAAAAAAACCTTAAGCCAAGTTGATCTGAATCCAGAATTTAAGATTTTCCCTGAGTATTCATTAGATGGATAAACTCAGTACATAAAGCATACATACACAAGATAATGGTTTACCTACTTAAAGACAAGGTTTGTCAAATTGAAGTTTCAGGTGCTCCCAGGTCAAATCACACAGCTGTGGTCACAGCTCCACACACACAGATCACCAGTGAACCTTCTGGAAGAAGCCTCAAATCTCATCAAAACCAATAATCTGATCATTCTGCAACTCTGTCCAAGAGTATCCACTATCGAGCTAAGACCACCTCCTAAATGTCTGGATTTATGTTCCCTGGTTCATGTTACTCTGTTTATGTGTGCATGACAACCCCAAAGTAACATCCCTCACAGCCAGCCTATCATAAATCACCCAGTGTCAGGGAAAAAAATTAAAGTAATTATGGCTTGCCTCTGTATCTATCCAGCACTGTAATGCAGAAGCTCATTCTTCAGTTACTATTTCAACCTCCTTGTGTAGAAGCTGAATCTGACTCGTACTCACTGCCCTTCTCCATACTTTCTTTTCAAAATAAAAAACTTTGAAAAAGACAAAGGTCTCTATGTGGTTCAGGAAGTTCAAAACCCACACAGTAAATCACCCTTTATGAAAATCTTTACTTAACCTTTTCCCGGCGTGCAGGAAAATCTTTAACCCATGCTCTGGATTAAATTATTTTGGGGTAATGATTATATCCATAAATGCTCTCCTTGCCAAGTGATCACAAATTTCAGAAATACTTTTAAATAATTATATTCCTTCTCCTGTGATTCAGTATAAAGCAAGTACTTAGTCTGGTTTTCCTGATCCTACATGGTTTAGGCAATCCTGTGAGGAGCAGAGAGCTGGACCCAGAGATCCTTACAGGTTCATTCCAACTTGAGATATTCCATGATTCTAACTCCAGAGAGGCTTTCAAGCCCTCATAGAAGAGAGATAATTACCTTTTGTCTCATTAAGAGTAGCAGCAACTTGTTAACGGCAAAACAAGAGTTTATGAAGCAAGTCAGGGTAAAGAGCACTGCTATCTTTCAGCAGGTAATTTAACCTCAGAAAGTACTTTATGTTGTTTGATGGTTTTTGTATTAAGTAATGAAAATGTAAAAGCAATTTTGTAAATTTGATAAAAATTATTCAATTTTCTTCAATTGAGGGTTTTTGTTAAAAAATAGTAAGACAGTTGAAAGTGGGATTTACAAGTGAGTATTAGACAAGTTTATTTTTACTACATGTTTCAGGTTTAAACTCCCAAATAAAAACTACTGTTGTAGAAGACAACCTTCAGTGATTTAGAGAGAAAGAAGTGCAAATAGAAAGGAACAGTTCCCTTATTCTGTAAAAACCCCCAAATAACTATTTCCCTCCCTTTTCCTAAGACAGGATATATCATCATTAGAAATCATCACAGGTTAAAAAAACCCCAAAAACCCTTGACAAGACGACTTAAACCACTTGAGTCCCAAAATGTATCTACACATTTATATACCAATGTTAATAGAAAATGTTTTAACAGAAATGCAGCAGTCACAACAAGAAGGCCATTAGGAAGAAAGCAGATTCCAAACTCAACACAGAGGCTCCACACACTTTGGCTTCTCAAAGCAAATCCACCTTCTCATAGGTCTTTTCAACAAGGGTTAGTAAGTTCTTCAAGTCAGCTGACTGCTGAATAGCATTCATATCCTTTAAAAGGTCCTTCTGATTCTTTACCTTCAAAATTTCCTCCTAAAGAAGAAAAGAATCATAGACAACAAATAAAAAATCAGCTTTCGTTGAGTGCAACAGGAATTTCACCTTCATGCAGCTACAGCTTAAACAAAAGAAGATTCACAGTCAGAGAATGAGTCTTCCCTCCAGCATTTATAGATATATTTCAGAAATTGCAAGTTCCCTCGGGCCATAGGGTTTCTAGGAAAAAAGCAGGTGATGTTTTAAATCATAAGATCACAGAATTGTTTGGGTTAGAAGGGACCTTTAAGATCAGCTTGTTCCAAGCCCCTGCCATGGGCAGGGACACCTCCCACAGGGTTCCACTATCCCAGGCTGCTCAGAGCCTCATCCAACCTGGCCTTGAATACTTCCAGGGATAAGGAGGGTTTTTAGGGTTTTGTCCTGGTTTTAAAGCATAAGCATATCGTTCTCAATGAAAAGAAAAAAAATGTAACATGGAAAATGAAAACCTATTCAAATTTTCATAATTGCCCCCTCTGGCAGAGGTTAAGGGATAAAAGCACATTCTGTTGCCTTCCTCCTCATAACCGAAGTATCTCTGAAAAGACAAATATTTATTCCACCTTCACCTGCAAAGTGGGTGCCTGCAAACTGCACTTGGGGAGTTCTGGAAGCTGGAGTTCTCCACTGCCATTTTCCTGGAATACCTAGAAAAAGAAGAGAATGAAAAAACTATCCAAACCCCCAAATATCAGGCACACAAGTAGGAAAATAACATGTTTGTCATTATCCAACTTCTGAAACTAAATTTAATTCTGCAGCTGAAGTTGGAAAGATTAAGAAAATCCATTCCCAAAAGCACGAGGCCTTCCTTAAACGACACTGCCTGAGAAACAACTTGTTTGAGAAAGCTCTGGAAGTCAGCCCATTCCTCAAGGTTATGGGAGTACACAAGTATTTATTTTATATATTTATTCATATTTATTTATTATTTTATACCTTCCTGGCATCTTTTTCATCTTTCTCTAACTGGTTCTTGAGCACCTGGATTTTGTGCTGCAGCCGCTGTATATTTTCCTCAATGCGCTCCACTGATCGCACTACTTCAGTTATTTCATCCTAAAACAAAACAAACACAAAACCAGAAGAAAATTTACTTTAGAGATGGTGAATCTTTCCCACAGAACACATTGAGTCACTGACAAAATGTCCAAAAAGAGACAGTGCTTTGCAGCAAAAGTGGCTGACGATGATGAACACTGGACACTCCACAACAGCTCAGGCACAGCAGTGTGGTAAGGTAATTTTTTCCCTTCCTTGCTTTTCATACCTGCAGTTGTACCAAAGACTCCTCATTTGTCTCAAGCATTTCTTTCTCTGCCATTTGAAGGCTCAGGATATTCTTCAGGTTGCCCAGCTTCTCTGGAGGTACATTTAAAGTCTTGAAACTTCTCAGCACCCTTCAATTACAGAAAAAGGAAAGTGTGACTTGTTTGGAGTTCTTTGCAAAGCGAAAAGAAAATTCTGGGGAAAAACTAATCTCACTATAGTTTTAAATTTAACTGCTGCCAGTGAAGTAAATGATTGCAGAAGGAAAGAAAAACTGCCTTGAATTGTCTTCCAAAATCATGTGGAAGAGGTGTCCAAGGAAAGAACCAGGAACAAGAAATCCCAAAATTCTCATGTTTGCTATTGCACTGACTTTGTGTGGTTTATATTCCACTGGCCTCTACACTCCCTGACTGTAAACTGACATTAATTAATATTTTCCTAATATTTTCCCAGTGCTGACCCTTCTACTTTTCAATGTTCTAAGAGGAGAATTCACAACTGCTTCCAAATGATGATCATTTTAGTAAAACCTGGAAATTATTTTATGAAACATGATATATAGCTTTCTCTATATATCTAAATCTAAACACTTATATATATATATGTATGTATGTATGACAGAGTAGAGTTTTAGTTCACCCTCAAAGTGAAATGGTACAAAACAACTGGATAGAAGAAATCTTTTCTCTCCCTTTTTCCTTTGATTTATAATTTCTTACTTGTTTTTCAGGACATTGAGGTGCTTCTGAACATCATCTTTTTCCTCCCTCTGTTGGGACAAAACAGATCTGGAAAGAAAATACAGGCAGAATTTCCATCACAAAGTGTGCAAGCACAGAGAACACATCAAAAAACACACTGACTTCCAGTTTAAGTAATACTATGATTTTTACATTGTTCCTTGAGGAAATTAAGATATTTGGCACTTACAGTACTACTGAATCCACTATACTTTCCAGGAACAGCCTACTGTTCTCTGAGAGAGGCTGCCAAGATCTTATTGTAGCACTGGACAGCTTCACCTTTTTTGAAGAACCATTTTCTCCTGTTATCACAAAGGAAAAAAGAGAAATATGACTTCTCAAACCTGGACAGAGAGCTTTGTGACTCAATTCAGTCAGACTGCAGTCAAAGGTGTAAAACACTTCAGATTTAAGAGGAAAGAACAGGACCTTACCTGCAGGGGAATAGTCCTTCAGTTCCTTAACTCCCCTTTTGCCTTTCTGAGGGACCTGCTGAAGGGAAAAACTTACAGCAAATGTGGTAATTTTGAGACATCCTCTGCTGTGCAATCACTCATCTACTTCTATGAACTCACTATGCCAGTGTCTGACAAAAGTCTTTGAGCACAAAAAAAACCCCTAAAAGCTTTACTGAAGACTGCTCAAAAGAGCTCTTCACACTGGGTATTTCCTCAAGAGGACTATTCTTAGTTGATAAACTATTCACTATAAATTCCAATTAAAAAATGGGGGAAAATACTCTTTCCCCTTGCCCCACCTTCAGTTACTTTTCTACATGTTTGATCCAAAATAATGAATACCTGTCTTTTTTGACCTTGTTTTCTTCCTTGTTCATCTGCTCTCTTTTTTTTGCTAGAAGTCCCTTGTTGATTTTTTGATTTAAAAGCATTTTTTGCTGATTTCCCACCACTTGGTGTCCCCATTTTATTGGAAGATGTGTGGCGGGGTTTCATTATCTGTAAACCAATGGGAATAGGAGGAAACAAAGACAAAATTAAAATCCAGCAATTACAACCCATATAATGCAAACCATACCTTAAAAAAAAAAAAATGAAATTGGGCTCAACCCAATAAGCCCCAAATGAGCCTAAATGAGATTAAATGTTTGAATATTTGCTAACCTAGAGCTCAAATCCTGTAAATTTACCTAAATGTAGAACCACTAAAAAAGCATCCCCATTTGAAGGACGCCTCTGCCCATGGCCAGGAGTTGTAAATAGATGATCTTTAAGGTCTCCTCCAACCCAAACCATTCTGACTTATCTTTCTAATTTTCAGTGGAGTCATCCAATTACCAGAACTTTTTACCTTAGCACATAAGCACAGTGGTCTCTGATGCGGTTTAAATCTATAGTTTTTCTTACTATAGAGACAGAGGAAAAAGCTGACACACAGAAGGGAGTAGCCACAAACCCAGCACCCTTCTCGTCTCTCAAGCACCACGACTCGGATTTATTCAGCTTTTCACTCACTCCCTCAGGCCGCTCTTTCCTCACTCAGGTCCTGTCACTCCTCACCAGGCAAGTGTCCAAATTGACAGCAGACAAACAAGCCCCAGCAGGGTTACTGAGGCCTAAAAAAGGTAAATAAACCATATGGCAGGTAAACAAACTCCACATCAGCTAAATAAACCCTAAAACAAGCAAATAAGCCCTGCATGTTCCCTCCTTCCTAACTACCCATGTTGTAGGACAGCTTTCACAGCGGACCGCAAATGAGATATGGACTACAACTCCCGGCATGCATCGCTCCCCATCGCCGCATAATACCTTCTCCTCTATCGCAGTGCATGCTGGGAGTTGTAGTCGTCACCCATATGCCTTCACATCCCCAGACGCCCGCTCCCCAGTGCTGCCGGATAGCATAATGGACAACATCTCCACAAAGCCCTTCCTCTCCTCCCGGCTCATGCCGCCCCAAGCCTCACCTTCCCGGCGCTGCGCCCCCCTCCTCAGCGCTACCGCCGGTCCCGCCTCAGCCCGCCGGGGCGTTACCAAACAAACCCGCTCTTCCCGCGGCGCAAGCGCAACGCCGCTCCCGCCCACCGCGCGTGCGCGGGAGTCGCGCGCTGACGGAGGGGCCGGTGACAGGTAACGGGGGATCCCATCCCTGTCCTGATCCCGATCCTTTTCCATGTCCTTGTCCATGTCCGGAGCCCCGAGCCCTGTCCCTGTCCTTGTCCTTATCCCTTATTCCAGCTCCCGGCCCGGCCCTCCGTCCCCATTGGCCGCGCGAGGGGCGTGTTGGGGGCGGGCGCTGTCCCGGGACGGAGAGCAGAGCGTTCCTGTGGGTACTGAGGGGAGAGAGGTGTGGAGAGGGGGGGACAGGGCGGGGATGGGAGATGGGCAGAGAGGAATTGGCTGAAACTGAACAAGGATAGATGCAGCGCCCAGCTCCGGGGCAGGAATAATCCCGGCGTGAGTTAGGAAGAGTACTGCCAGCAGGAAGGTGATCCTGCCCCTCTGCTCAGCCCTGCTGAGGCACATCTGGGGTGCTATGTCCAGTTCTGGGCTCCTCAGGACAAGAGGGACATGGAGCTCCTGGAGTGGGTCCAGTGCTGGGTGGCAAAGAGGATGGAGGGCCTGGAGCATCTCCCTGAGGAGGAAAGGCTGAGGGAGCTGGGGCTGTTCAGCCTGGAGAGGAGACACAGCTGAGAGGGGCCCTCAGCCCTGGGTGTCCCTGTGTGCAGGGAGGGCTCCGAGCAGGGCCCAGGCTCTGCTCCAGGGCCTAGCAATGGCACCAGAGGAACGGGCAGGGACTGATCCCAGTGAGTTCCACCTGGACACGAGGAAGAACTTCTTTCCTGTGCAGTGACAGAGCACTGAACAGATTGTCCAGAGAGGCTGTGGAGTCTCCCTCACTGGGGATATTCCAGAGCTGTCTGGACACAATCCTGTGCCCTGTGCTCTGGGATGACCCTACTTGAGCAGGAAGGTTGGATCAGATGGGCCACTGTGGTCCCTTCCAGCCTGACCCATCCTGTGACCCATGCAGGGCTGTGGGCAGATGTTGCCTTCCGTCCTGGCTGCAGTCTCACATCCCTGCAGGGCATTAGTGCTCCTCAGGAGCTCCTCTGTGTTCCTCAGGTTATAGGCATACCACACAGCATATATATTATTAAAGCTCATGTTTGGAGGGTGTTGCTGCAGTGATACTGATGCTTTCCAGCTTTATGCAGGATTTTTCATAAAGATGTCAGGGATGTATGTGTTTCTTTGCAGTTGTGAAAGAGATGAGAGAGTGAGGAAGTGACTGACCCTTGGAGCCAAGCTGTAAAGGTTTTGTTTTTGTAAGGAAGTGCAAGGATAGGCTATGGAGAGTAGAAGCAGAGGTGCGTACAGTTTTTAGGAGTTACTGAACTCACAGACTGGTTTGAGTTGGAAAGGACCTGAAAGATCATCTCATTCCAACCCCTGCCATGGGCAGGGACATCTTCCACTAGACCAGGTTGCTCTAAGCTTCATGCAACCTGGCCTTGGACACTTCCACGGATTGGGCAGCCACAGCTTCTCTGGGCAACCTGTGCCAGGGCCTCCCCACCCTCACAGGAAATTGTTCACATTGTTGCCCCATCAGTCTCAGGCATGGTGGGACAAGCTCTGCAGCTTGTATTGTCCCTGTGTTCTCACATACCACATGTTTTTTTCTCCTTTCTTTTTCAACCTATCCCTAGTTTCAACCTATCCCTTTTTCAACCTGTCTCTAGTTTCCATCCAGCCCAAGCCATCTTTTCCAAAGTGTATGATTATATCAGCAATTTTCTGACAGCTCATTTCCTGCAGAGTGCCTCCTTGATGTTGGATACTGGGAAGAAATTCTGTGAGGCTGGTGAGGCCCTGGCACAGGTTGCCCAGAGAAGCTGTAGCTGCCCCATCCCTGGAAAAGCATCGCTCTTTGGCATGAAGGAGTTCCTAGATGAGGGAGATGTGAAGGTGAGAGGGTAGCTGGCCATGCCATCTTCATGCCTCACACTGGCTTTTCAGTGACTGATTAATGACAGTGATGCTGAGGGACTGAAATAAGTTACACATCTCAGATGTGGATGTAGATAAGCTGAGGGAATGTTTTTCTTGGTTAGAGGAAAATGTAGGATTTTTCCTGAACTCTCTTCCTGGTTGAAAGGGAAGAGGAAGGGCTATCTGTCAAATCAGTGCGTGAGTAACACATTTCACTTTTCTCCTGAGGGATTGTTTTGGATTTAGCAAACTGCATGACCTCTCCATCCTCACATCTCCTGTGTTAGGTGCATATGATAATGCCAAATGCATGTTTTTGTTTTGTCCAGCTTGCCCCACCCTGCGAGCAGAGCCATGCTGAGGGCCGGGGATGCTGTCCTGCGGCTGCGGCCGCGCCGCTGCGCGCTCCCGGCCTGGCGCGCCCTGCACAGGCAGCCGCTGCACCCCGAGTGGGCTGTCCTGGCTCAGAAGCAGCTGAAAGGCAAGAACCCAAAGGATTTAATCTGGCACACCCCAGAGGGGATCGACATCAAGCCTTTATACTCCAAAAGGGACACAGAGGACTTCCCTGAGGAGCTGCCAGGGATGAAGCCTTTCACTCGAGGGCCCTACCCCACCATGTACACGTACAGGCCGTGGACCATCCGCCAGTACGCTGGGTTCAGCACAGTGGAGGAGAGCAACAAGTTCTACAAGGACAACATCAAAGGTGGGGCAGCTGCTCTGGGAAACAACACTGCCTTGTGAAGCAATGGGGGACATGAATTCAGTCAGTTACCTGGCAAATGTGATTATTCTGCACTGTGAGTTTGGATTTCTGAAAAGGTCTTCTCAGTGGCACTCTTTCTTTATTACTGGGAAATTGGATTGTTTCTGGAAGTGCCTTTGTTTCATTTTTCTCTGGAGAACGAATGTGTTAAATGCTGGTTTTGGTTATTGCACCTTAACACATAGAAATAATTTGCATCCATCCCAGGGTTCAGGCAACTGAGATCATGGAGCTGAAGCAGAAGTGGTAACCTGGGTTAGCTGGTAGCACAGCCCAGTCGCTGGTCAGAGCAGGGAATGCCTGGGGACAGCAGAGCTTTGGGTTCTGCTTTCAGGTTGCAGCAACAAGAGCTCTGGCTGTCCTGTTCCCTGCTTTATATGAATAATTTTCTCTTACTGCAGCTTTGCAAATAACAACATGTGTCAGTAGAGCCAGGGAACAGTTTGTGGTGTTTAGTTTGTCATAAAGAGAAGGTAACGTGACAGAGTTTATGACACTTCTGCTCCCAGCTAAGCCAAGCTGATTTATATGTATAAGCTCTTATACTGCTTATCTAGGTGCATTTATAACTTGTGGGTGAGCTGTTGTTCAGCAATTTTTAAAGCACAGTAAGGACTACCTTTTTGGCTTTTTTTTCCCAGTTAAAAACTTCTTCATTTAAAGTTTAAGATTACTAAACCTTGGACAGGTTTGGGGCGGGAACAATGTTTAACATCAAAATTTAGTTTGCCCTTCAAGCCTGAATCATGTAAAATAGAGTTAATAAATTTAAATATCCCATCCTAATACAAGTCTGTTCAACACCTCTAACTATCTCTCTTTGTTGTTTTGGGGGTTTTTTTCCTTTCTTTTTCACGTAGCTGGCCAGCAGGGATTATCAGTTGCTTTTGATTTAGCCACGCACCGTGGTTATGATTCAGACAATCCCCGAGTTCGAGGAGATGTTGGAATGGCTGGAGTTGCCATTGACACAGTAGAAGACACCAAAATCCTTTTTGATGGAATTCCTTTGGAGAAAATGTCAGTTTCTATGACAATGAACGGGGCAGTCATTCCTGTGCTGGCTACATTCATTGTGACTGGGGAAGAGCAGGGAGTGCCTCAGGCCAAGCTAACAGGGACAATCCAAAATGACATCCTGAAGGAGTTCATGGTCAGAAATACCTACATTTTCCCCCCAGAACCATCCATGAGGATCATTGCTGACATCTTCCAGTACACCTCAAAGGTATTCATTGTTTAAATGTGTAACATCTATTATTAGGGTAAGTGTTCATGATGCACTTTAGAGAATAAAGAAAAGATGGGAAGACATGTCATAGAGAAGAGTAATATGGTGGAAAGGGCCAGTAGAAGTTAAGATCCAACATAATTTAGAATAGAAATTTGAAGTTTGAGTCAAACTTCAAATTTCAAGCACAATGACTCAAACACATCTTTGTAGAGATGGGTTGTATTTGAAGTGAACAAGGAAGTCAGAGAATGGGCTGGAGACAGGCTGAGAAAGCTGGGGGTGTTCAGCCTGGAGAAGCCTCCAGGGGGACCTCATTGCAGCCTTTCAGTACCTTAGAGGGGTTTATAAAATAGATTAAGAGCAACCTTTTACACCAATACTGACAACTTTCTTCCCTGTGAGGGTGTTGAGGCCCTGGCAGAGGTTTCCCAGAGCAGCTGTGTCTGCCCCTGCATGGAAGTGTCCAAGGCCAGGTTGGATGTGGCTTGGAGCAATCTGGGATAGTGGGAGGTTTCCCTGCCCATGGCAGGGGGTGTTGAAACCAGATGATCTTTAACTCCCTTCCAACTCAAACCATTCTGTGTTTCTGTGTTAATGTGATAGAACAAGTATTTGATGCTCTCTTCTGCTCTTATATCCTGTTGTATCTTTTTTTTTTTTTTTTTTTTTTCAGCATATGCCAAAATTTAATTCCATTTCCATTAGTGGGTACCACATGCAAGAGGCAGGAGCTGACGCCATCCTGGAATTAGCTTATACCATAGCAGATGGCTTGGAGTACTGCAGAACTGGGCTTAAAGCTGGCCTCACTATTGATGAATTTGCACCTAGGTGAGCTCAAGAAATTTGCTAGTATAAAACCCACTTTTAGTAAAACCTCCATAGAGTTTAATATCAAATTGTGTATTTT